TTTAGCACTGTCTGCATGCCCTGGATAAGTTATTAATGAGATTTTCATATCCTCCTCTCTACTGCTTTTCCATTTTTTACAAGGAATGCTTTTTGCCAACATACATTATCCACAGCTCTAACATAAATTAACCTGAGTTTCTTGCTTATTATGGCTAGATTCCATGTGGCCCTTCCAGGTATGCCCAAAAGAGGAGCACACAATAGTTTACCCCTTTGTGTCCCAACATAGCTACAAAGATCGTGGGCTTTTAGACAATGCAAGTGCTGCTCTGAATTGCTCTGCACTAGCACTGGCAGAGAGATATTACCATTCCAAAAGATGAACCTGGAGCAAAGAAAGACTAAGGAAGCAACCAGAACTGAAATGGGGAACTGCATTTTCCCCTTTAAAAACAGCAGTCAAAGCTTTCTAGTAATGTTCTGCAGAAAAAAAATTAGTCAAAGAACCTTCCTTTATGATACTCTGAATTTGCATTAAGCATGTTTGGGGTTGACAAATGCCTCTAAGGTTTGGCCAGGGGACTAACCAAGCTAGGGTACCTCAGGTAGGGACTGCTATAGCTACCAACTTTTCTAAAGTTCATTAAAAGCTCCGAGTCATAGTGATTTATAAATACAGTGCCCAAAATTCAACATATTCCAGATTATCAGCATATGACCATGGCTGTGTTTCCTGGCAAAAGAAAATCTCCTGCTATTTGATAAACATAACCACACACACACACACACACACACACACACACACATATAGACATGCTCTCCTGATTTGAGCAGGAGAAAAATATAATCTGCAAAAAAATTATTTTCCCTTGTGCTCATATTGGTGAGCACATCACGCAACTTTCAATCATCAAGTCTGATATTCTACACCATTACACTGATTTTGTGCAAAGAAATATCCAGTGCTCCAAAGATGAAAGATCACACCTGCAAGTGCTCACTGCTGACCATCTCTATCATAGCAATAGTCAGCAAGAATTCCTCTCCATTCTCTTCACTTTTCCTGATCAATTGATGACAAGGTGTCGGGAAAAAAGAGGATTTGGTCTCTCTGAATGAGAAATGCAATGCAGATGCTTGCTTAAAGCAGTCAGAACATTTGAAAGTAGAGATGGTTCCTTCAAAATGGAATCACAGTGCATTTAATTTTCACCTACCTACTGTCTTATCTTCCTCTTTTTTTTAACAACTAGTTTTCAACTCTTTAGTTAAAATAAGAATGCCATTCCTGAAGCTGGTGAGACTGACCACAGTTTGCAGAAGGGTCCTGACATTTCCATAAATCTTGTCAATGTCAATATAGCACTTGAAACTTTAGGCTATGAAGTGCAGTCCTCTGTCCTTGTAACTTCCATTTTGTTTTGGTTTGGTTTGGTTTTTTCTCCAATATTTAAGTTTTCTATTCAATTATATTTTACAAGTTTGGGAGAGTAGAAAAGACAGAAGTTCTATAGCAGTTGGAAAGGTCAATTTCAGATGTGAGAAAGTAAAATCTGAATAACTTATGGAGAGTCGGAATACTGAAGTATCCAGCATGATCTGTCAGTTCATGGGGGAGAGGAGAGCAGACAGATAATTCAATCACTTCCAGATATTTTGGGTCCTTGCTTAGTTTTAGTGCACAATAATGTGTGGACTTCCTTTTCTACGTGCCAATAAAAACAAAGGATTTATGAAAAAATGTTGCCTTAATTATCTTGCAAACTTACAGCAAATAAAAAGAAGAAAATACCTTCATGATTTGTAGAAAGTCATAAACAATTAAGGTCTGTATGACTTGCCATTTGCATGGCTATATTTCACACAAATTAATGTTAATGATACAGGAAATTTGTTTTGAAGTCAAACTTGTAATTTATTTTGATGGCTAAACAGAAATGGCATGGAATGTTTGGGTAAAGTAGTTTATTTCAGAGCTGAAAGTGCAGCCAAGAGTGTTCCAGCTGCAATCCTGTGCTTAGCATAAAATGAATACAGAGAAAAGATTATCTGCCCTTGAATAAACCCATGATTATCCATATCAATTCATCTAAGTCATATATATATATCTAAGTCATATGAGATGTCTCTGCCTTCAGGGGATGGTGCAGTATCATCTTCTCCCTGCCCACACCCATTTTGCAGGTTATTTCCTCAGTGTAGTGTTGATACATCACTCAAGGATGTATGCTAGGATAGCTAATATAGCTGGATAGCTAGGATAGCTGCTAGGATAGCAAATGGCCAACAGCCAAAACCTGTTTAACTGACAGAGGTGTACCACCAGTAAAAGTTAAACCTTCCTCAACAGTCCACAGAAAATAGTACTCAGTTTTGAAGTGCACCAGTAAAGCATCAAGTCACATACTGTCAGCACTCACACCAAGTCTCCCAGTAAAATGAATTACAAATCTATCCTTTAATTCAGGAACTACCTACCAACCAGATGTTTACTTAGCTGAATTTAATACAGTCTTTCAAGAAGCCTATACATTTCCCTTTTGCTGGTCAATAACTAGATAAAATGCCAGTGTTAACCCAAAATATTTCATTACTAAGGGAGCAATTTTTTACAAGGATCTAAATTCTTGCTGTAAGAAATCTCTGAAAATATCTTTCACAGCAAGTGAAAGTGGGCTGATGAGCAGCTCTTGCTTTCAGACGACTTTAGAAGAATTCATCTCAGATCCTGGACTATTTCTGTTGTAGTATGTAAGGCCAGATTGTGATCCCAGTCACAGCAGTGATATGTGCAAAATAATGCAAAGTCCTATGCCAAAGTAAACATTCTACTAGTTTCAAATGAACTATTTCAGATTCACATAAATGGAAGTGAAACATAACTGAGACTAGGTATCTTAAATTAATGATGTGTGGCATGGTCAGAATGCAGTAATCTCTTGCAAAAACACTTAAAAATTCCCAGGGCTCACTAAAAAAAAAAGAAGGTTAGTTATTTCCACATCTCTTTTCAGACTACAGGTCACTATAGAAAAAGGAATAAATTGCTAGAAAATTCCTGAACTGTTAAAGTACCTAATTACTAAGCACTATGTACAAAATCCTTGAAGCCTTGTTTGGTATGTTTTGTATCATGAATTATCACAATTGCTATTTACATGTGTTCTTTTAAACTGTAAGAATCCATCCATCCACAACTGAAGTATTCTTGAAGATTAAGATTAATGTGTCATGAATCACCACGGTTTAATATGCATGACACAGTTTCATTTCACACATATTCTGCATGGGTTGATTGCCATGTATACCAATATCAAACATATGTTAATTCTTTAATTTTTTTGCTCTCAGAGTATGTTTTAATTATCTATGAGGCTTCAAAAAGAAAAAGAGGGAGGTTATTTAGAAGCAAATTTAATGAAAAATATGAGATTTTTTCTTTATTTCATTTTCTCAACAATATAATTTCAATAATAAAACAATACTTGATATGCAAAGGAACTGCAGACTGCTCTCATTAAATGGTTCATTCCTTGTAAGCAAGAAAAATTTGATTACTTTTCTAATAAAATGCATTATTTTAAAAGCCCTGCCAATTCAACATGAGATTGGTGATATGAAATGTTTCTGCAAGTCATTGTATGTTTATACTATGCCTAAATTCTTAAATTTGAGTATTTTGCAAAAAAAATCAAAACTCCATGTAAAACACAACTATATAAATTCTCACATCAACAGTGCTATAGGTCCATGTATCATCCAAATTAAGAAGTCCTTAAATATAAAATATTTCACAAGCCTCCTCTGTACAGAGGCCAGAAATGGAAATGAAAAGGCATTCTAGGTTAAAAGTAATGTATAATGAGGAAGCTGTTTCAGTCAGCATCAGCTCCTACTTTCTGCTGTGTCAGATGCAAACCACAATTCTCCAGGGCCAGAACAGCAACAGAGCCACAGGTCAGGATGGAATAGTTTTGGATAAAAACTCTAAGCTTTAACTAATGCCTAATTTGATCAGAGTTGTTATTGCAATTTCCATGGGAGTTGGAGCATGTCTCTAGCTTTGGGCCTGATCTTCCTGAAATCAACAGGAACAAGAATGGCTCCCAAAGATTTTGCACTAGAATTAGTTTCATGAAGCTGAAACAGTCTCCAGGTTGAAAATTACAATTACTAAAACTGTTAAAAATAATAATAGTAGGAGTAGGAGTGTATATTTAAATCATACATGTCAATGTTAGATAGTATAAATACAGATAAACAACAATAGTAGATAAAATATTGTCAAAACTAAGATATTCAGCCCCTCCCTAAGTCATAGAGATTTTTCTGTATGCAGTAATATTTTCAACACCATAAAATTTATTTAAATTTCTTGCCTATATAACACATACTGACATAAGATGGCATACAGCTTTAAAATCAAAATGTGAACTGACATTTTGAAAAATAACTGACAGTCATGGCACAGGAGTGCAGTGACCTCTGTCCTTCAATATTCTCTTCTTATGTATTTTTTTTCCAAATGCCCAAATAAGTGCCAGGTTTCCCAGAAATGAAATGCATATTACCAGTGACACCTTAATAACTAAGAAGTCAAAATCACAAAATTTTCACTGAATTTACTGGGCCAAGGAATGAATCTAAAATGTGGGAATTTATACACATCACACAAAACATTTGTGCAGATTTCTGAAAACATACACCTATCGCATTGCAGGGAATTAAGCCTGCATTCCTTGTTCAACCAAAATTCCCTGACTGGAATAACAGCTTTAGATGTTATTTTTGTTCACATTCTGTTTTACTATGTTAAAACACCAGACTTTTTTCTTTTTACTTAAGATAAATGTGTGAAAGTGCCTTCTTTCCATTCATAGATGTTATTATCTTCCTCAAACTTCAAATGATTCATCCGGGTGAATGTAGTTATAAATAATTTATCAAGATACATACCAGTTGTTAGGGAAAAAAAAACCCCGAAGGAAGAATATCACTGCATAAAATCTGAACATTAAAATTGATTTTTTAAAATCAATCTTTAATTGGTTTTATTACCTCCTAATCCAGGTCTGAGGCGATTATCATAACCATCCAGAAGTCTGTCTAGAATTCTTGTAAAGATGGTGATGTTATTCTTAGCTTCGTCTTCCAGGGAGTCAGCCAGCACTGATCTAAATGGATATTTTACATTTTAGAAGGTGCTAAATATGTTTTAACATACACTCGGCATGCATTTTTTCAGGCTGGCCTTTACTTGCTGCATTCCAACAGGCAAGGTGTATTTAACAGTATACGAATACACAATTTGTATATAACAAGTTCAGACATATAAGAGTCAACAGCATACTATTTAAAATATCCAGGAAGTCATTTTCCAGTAGCCTCTACTTGTAGGCATCATTGCCTTACTGCGAGTGCTACTTCAAGCTCCACTAACACCATTAGTGGAGGCTGTGCTGGTGCAAAAGCCTAGAAGAGCTTCCCAGGCTTTGGTGGTATGTCACTCCTGGACTGATAACCTGGGACCCCATGCACAAACCCATCTCCTTCCAGCTCTATCTTATCTCTCCTCACCTAGGTATACGCTATCTCTGGATAAATCCTGTGGATTTGCCTCCACCCAATGGTCATGTAATGTACATGACCAGAAGAACAAACATGAGGGAAAACTCCAGCGATCATGCTCAGGGAGTCCTCTGACGCCAGCAGTTGGTGGGAGGGAACACCAGTGCTGACTAGCAAGCTGCAGGATAGCTGTGGACAGCCTTCATCTTTCTAAAATGCTATTTTGCCATAAAAAGCTCTGTCTGATATTCCATCAGATGCAGAAAAGCCGTATAAAAGTTGGATGGGAAAAGGAATCATAAATGAAGTGTCAAGAAGAATCTGTAGATCACTGATTGTTTCAAACTTCCCCAATAAAGAAAGAGACATGACAGCCTTTATGGATCAAATCTCTGTGGAACACGCTAGGGGTTGGAATACGAACCTGCTGCCCAGCCAGCTGTGGTGCTCCACAGTCCTCCAGAACCTGTGCCCCCAGACCGAAAGGATTTGTGCCAGGGAAACCCTGACACGCAGAAAGCCTTACACATGCAAATGTTACCGTGCCAACAATTTTAAGCACTGTGCATGTGAAATACATGAGCTCATCAGTGCTATCTACTTAAAACCAGCGTATTGGTATCAAGGAAGGAAAGCGTCACATGCTACACACATTACCATTTACACCTTTTTCAGCTACCTAAATTTTTAATTCTAAATGTTTGAGTATTAATCATCTCAAAATGAAGGTATTCTGAATGCCATAATAGCAAGCATGTTTTCCTCCTCCTCCTCCAAACCAAAAGTAGGTTTGGGTGATATTTTCTCTAAAGCAAGCTATAAAATTATTAAGACAAGGCTGTATGTTGGTCCCCAGTTCAATAGCATAAAGAAGTATTTAAATGTAAATCATTGCAGTCTGTGCTTTCCATCATATAAATCATAGAATCGACCCAAATCAGATAACTTGTAAAGAACCCATGAAAATGTCATGTGTGATTTTACTCGTGTCAGTTTTTTCTTAGTTGCAATTACTGGATGGTTCCTTTTTGGTTTGTAAAATGTATCATTATGCTCATGGACTACCAGAATAGGTCTCTGCCATTTTTAAGCTTCTTTTTGAGATACAACAGTTTTTGAACTCAAGATTCCACTAAAAAAAATTTAGATCAATACAATTACATCAAATTAGGGTCGCATCCTGCAAACTTTACTTAGGCACAAAGTCTTTAATAACGCATAAAGTCTCTTTGACGTCAGTAAGATTACTCACTTGAGTAGGGTTTGCAGGATCTGGCCCACTGTGACTCAACTAATACTGCACCATGGTTAGATATAAAGTGAAACAGAAAACATAGTTTCAGAAAATATTTTGTTTGCTGGGAAACAAACAAAAATATTGGAGACTCGTTAAATCTTAGGAAACTTGCGTTATATAGAATACAATCTTTACCATATCAGGACAAGACCTACTGTAGCCAGAACTAAAGCAAGTATATCAAAGTTACAAACTACAATTAATTACGTGTTTAGGAACTGTGAGCAACCCAAAACTATAATGTAGTAATAATTACTTCCTCTTATGCTGTCACTTTAGAAATTGAGAACTTTAAACAACATAAGAAAAGTTGATTAATAAATGATGCTATTGTTTTATTAAATGTGATTGTGAAGTTGTATGCTATCTCCACCTAGAGGTTTAAAGCTTAAGCATCATTCTGAATTCTATTATGTTTGACCAAAAAAAAATCAAGAAAAAAAAAAAGACATGTCCATATTGATAAATACATGACCATTATTTTTAAGACAGTGATTTGCAGTGTGAGTTCATGATAATCTATTTCTCCATTTTGTAAGGTACAGAATCACAGTGATAGAGTAATTCAAATCTTTAAGATCCAAAAAAGCATTTAAAGAAATTGTTATTTTAATGGTAAAATAAAGCATCAATTCACAAACCGTTTAAGGACAAGAGATCAGTCTTTTATGGTCCCTAAACTACATTCTACTGCATTTGCTCTAGAAACTGTGTAATATTGCATTCAAACAGCTAAGAAAGATTTTTTTATTACGTTACTACATACCATACTTTTATAACCCCTCACACAAGCTTACCCTTTGCAGATTGTAACATACACGTTCGCAGCGAACAACAAAACTAAATATCCTCTCACCTTGTTGGTAGCCACACCAATAAAACGAGAAGAACCAACTGCATCTCGGAGAGTGCCAGCTTCCTCTTCATCGCTGCTCTTCGCAAAACCTAACGGTGCAAGAAAAACACAAACCCACTCTCAGCCACAGTCAGTCTCCGCCAAGCAGTGCTTTCAACTTAACCCGAGGAAAATATGTCACTTCACTGAAGAAAGGAAACCACTGGATTTCCGCAGCACTTTTCAGTACTAGCAACTTATTGTATCTCCATCTTTCCCAACGATCCTGCTCTGTGCAAGGAGGCAACGTATGATCAGAAGTGGCATGTGAGCCGGCGCATCAGATGCTTTCCTGTTCCGTGATGTGAAAGCCCCGAGACGAAAAGGAACAAAAAAATAAAAACCGTATGTATGGGAGGATGGGGGTTTAACCACCCCTCGCCTCACTACGGCACACCGCAGCCGGGGGGGCGGGGGGGCGGGCGGGAGGCAGAGTCATGCCATTCGCCGGGGCTCGGTGCGGGGACCGCGGGCGAGCCGCCCCCCGTCGCCGCCGAGCGCCCAGCACGTTTGACAGCTGCTCGGCAAAGCACCGGCGGCCGCCGGGGGGGCGGAGGGGGCAGCGCCCGCAGGGTGACAAGTTGCGGAGCGCAGCAGAGCCCCCGACACGGGCGGGCGCTGCCCGCGCCGCCCGCGGCAGCTGGGGACCCCCGGGGACCCTACCTGGGAGCGGAGGGCGGCCGAGGCGGGGAGGGAGGGGGAGAGGGAGGGAGGGAAGGAGGGAGGGAAGGAGGGAGGGAGGGATGGAGGGGAGGCGGGTGCCGCCGGCGAGCGGGGCAGGCGGCGGCGGGGAACGCGGGGCGGCGGCGAGCGCGGCCGGCACCGAGCGCCTCCCGAGCGGCGGGCGCGCGCGCGCGTGCCCGCGTGTGCCGGGGCGCGGGACACAGAGGGTGCGGGGTCCCCGCCCGCGCCGGCACCGGCACTGACACCGGCACCGGCACCGGCACCGGCACTGACACCGGCACCGGCCCGGGGCGGATTCCGCAGCCTCGGAGCCGGGAGCGGGAGGGCGCGGCAGAGTCGCCGGTGCGCGAACGAGAAACGGGGCGAAAAGCGCTCCCCAGCCCGGCACAACACATTTTCCGTAGCCCTCCCTCCCTCCGCCCCCAGGCTCTCAATCCCCCGGTGAAGTGTGCGTTCGCCCGAGCACAGCCCGGCAGCCGCGCCGCGCTCCCCGGGACTGCGGCGGGAGCGGGGAGCCGCCAGCCCCGGCTCCCACCCCGCTCCCGGCTCCCTCATTAACATTCCCTTCCCCACTTGCCCATTGGCACAGTCTAATTGGAATGCAGAGAGAAGAAAAGTCTGTCATTTAATGTGAGCTCCGGGTGCAGGCAGACAAGGAAACAAACCTCGCTTATATTTTTTTCCGTTTTTCCCCCCCCTCAAATTGCATTACTTTCTGTTGTATTGTCTTTTAAAGCACGTTGCCCTCCTTTCGTATTTGCAGTCCTTCCCTGGTAGTAACTGGATCGCTGCTGGGATTCATTCCATTGATTTCAGGTTTTCCAGTACAAGTAGAACAGGACAGGCTTGATAATTAAAGATAAGGGTTTATATTTAGCGTACCCTCATTTTGCATTTTTAACTCGAAAATAATTAAATAACGCCGGCAATAATATTTCGTCTTTTTCTTTTTAAACCAATCCTTATCTATCTCCTTTCCTTTCAATCTCTTAACTGCCCAAAGCACCAACTCAATTATCCTCTCTTAATGTCACTGGCCCGCTTATTGTGTTTAACTGAAATTATTCTGAAGTTTGGTCCTGAATCAATAGCAGTTCCAAAACGAACGTGTGAAATAGGATGTGCAGACATGGAAGGGGATGGGGGGGAGGGGAGGGCGGGGGTGGGAGGCAGAGGGGTGAGGGGAGGGAAATAGGAGAGAAGGAGAAAAAATTTCTTAGGTTACCTACAGGATTGGGGTGTTCCTTCTTCCTAATTGTTGCAGTTTGCAATTGAAGGTGTCCTTGTTTCCTTCTCTTTTCGTGGTTTAATGACTCCACAGTAGAGGATGAGAAACAAAAGGAGAGAGAAAAACACTTGGGCTATCAAGACAATTTATTCCTTCCAACTTTGAGATATTTTGTAACTTGGAGAAAGTCTGAGAAGAGAGAGAGAATAAACTGAATAGCTTTGTTTTAGAATAACTAGTAAAATGGCAGCCCAAACTGTGGATAATGACAAAGATAAGGACATGGGAGCAAAAACTGAAATCTGAAAAACAATCTTTCAGCAGCCATCTAACCCTGGCTGTGCCTAAGACATAAGGCCCTCATCTTTCCCTGTCCAGATGTGAAAATGTGCTCTGTTCATTGCCACTTAGGTATCTATGGTCAATCTAAAATCTTCTTTGGATCTGCCTGTAAATCCCACATATTAGGAATTAACAGCATATACTAGGTGCAGAATCAACCCTCACAGTAAAGAAAACTAGTTTAAACTAGTTGTCCTAAGAAAAAGTGACTTCACAGATATCAAAATAGAGGGGAAAAAAAATCACTGAAACTGAAGTCTTCATGATTTATTCTTATATGAAACACATTATGTAATCCAAGCAGAATGATTTTTTTTGTCCACAGATATTCATGGCATTCCTTCTCAAAACACGCTTCCAGTAATAATAATACTGAAGCTATAATCTAATTATCATATGTAAATTGCATCAAAAAATAGAAAAACACATTCATTAAGGAAAGCAGTCAAAGTGGCTCCTTGTTGCTGTGATAGCATATTGTCATTCTTCAAAGGCCACATGGGGTAGGTATGCATTTATAATGAGCTTGTGCTCACAGACTTTCCTAAGAAAAATGTGCTGGGTTTTTGGCTCTAAGCACAGGTATTACCTGTGATGTTCTTTGAGATAGTTTCATATACTGAAGCCATGCTTCAAATGTGAAATTTTAAAATAACCCCTCAAACCCATTTTAAGTCAGACAGCCCTGCGAGGCATCTCAAATCGCAGGAAAGCTGAGTACAGGGACAAATGGCTGTGGCAACATGAAAAATCTGAGGCAATATAATTACTAACAGAGAGAAGGTTTTTTCTGCTAGGCTCACATACTTACAACCTGTGCTGCCAGTGAACTAGAAAGTATTTGGGGAGAAAACTGTGGTATTGCTGGGGTGTTGTTGCTTTGTTGGGTTACATGCAAGCACAGATCAAAAATATTAAATGTGTTAGCTCTAGGTGGTTAGAAAAGGTGCACTTGAGCCCCCTCAGGTGCACAGTCAGCAGGGAGCCCTTCTTCTCTTCTGCATTATTATTTGTGGTATGGTATTGAATGCTGTCATTCATTACTGAATTTCAATTAACTCTAAGCAATATGCAGCATCTAACACGGCACTTGGGTTTGTGAGACTCTCCTGAGTCCTGATGCAAGCACCCTGCAAGGTGGGGAATCATGCCCTTGGTTTGAATAGGACTTGAAATAGTCCACAGGAAGGCAGCAGGTCTACAGATTGTTACTTTCAACGTATAAATAAAAGATTTCACTTTAAAGGTTTTATTTCTTTTGTGCTATATTTGCTGCAATATATATATAGAATTCAATCCCTATTTCGATATTTTAAAAATCTGAAAAACAAACAAAGGACCTTACAATCCTATTATCCCCTTGCCAAGGATCTCGAAACTCTGCACACACTGATAAATGATGTTTCAGAATTCTTCTGTGAGATTGGAATGGCTTCCTCTGTGAGCATAAATTGAATAGCAGGGTAGGTATGTAACATTTCATAAGCACTTCTTAGAGTTTAGAGGTAATAGAGACACAGGAGAGGTTAAGCCAAGGCCTAGTCATTATCCAGCCTGCAAAACACTAGACTGAATGCTTCCTTTAAAATTGTGCTTAAAAGAATCATTTATATGACAGAGTTATACCATCCTTCAGACAAAATAAATTACTCAAAAACAATACCTCTGATTTCTAGCCACTAGGAAGGTCGAAGTAATCATTTTCTGTCATGGACATAATCAAGTAATGCAAAATAGAATTTAATTCTGATCTGGGGTACATTCTGCAGTATAACATTTCCAGAAAAAATTTGGCAGATTGAGGTAATCAGCATTTACTTTGTACTGCTTGAGAATAATCCTCACCCTTATATCTAGGCCAGCAGCACTCTGAGCTGTAAGAATATAAACAATAATCACTGGAGTTAAATTAAGTGATGCATATGTATGAAAATTGAAGTGATATATCAGAAATTTTTGTATGTGATAAGCAGTGGATTTTTTTAGTATAAATTATGCTTTTTATAAATATTTTTATCTCTGAAAAGACATAAAACATATTTCAATATTATAATAATGTCTTGATAGACTGCTTCATTCTTTTAAAATTTCTATTTATATTAATTAAATAAATATAAGTTCAAGTGTATGAGATATATCCAAGACATAATTTCTATGTAACTTTAAACATGTATGTTATCTTACTTCTGTAAATAATGATGAAATAAAATGTTGTGGGGGGAATTAGTTTTTGAACTAGTCAGTCATTAGACTGGCTCATCATGCTGGTACATGATCACTAGTCTGAGGAAAAAAGAAGGAAGAAGCTGGCTTTTTTTAGGAACCCTATAAAATGTTGATGGAAATCAGATTTCTGTAAGAAGACTTAGGTGTCCAAAACTCCTCCTCCTTATGCAAAATTGCATCCCAAATTTCTCAGAGTTGAAATTATTTTGAGATGCACCATCCAACACTAGATGCTAGTATAACAAGGTAGCACAGAAAAATCTTAGAACTTTATGCAGTACCCACCATTGCAAGGGTCTGAGCAACTCAGAGTTTTCAACTTGATTGTGCCACTTACGGATTGGGAAGAGTTTCTGTGCTTGTTTGAAAGCTCCAGCTATCATACAGTCTTCCTGACTGAAGAGCAAAGGCAAAGGGCCAGTGCCAGCTTTATTTCAGCTGTGTGTAAACAGCTTTAAGTTGCTTTCCAATGTGCACTGAGAAGTTCAGCAGAACAGGAAATTGAAATGAGCTTTCCCACCTTAAATATTGATGAATGTTTCTTCTTTTCCAGGATTATACTTCTCCCAGATTTGAGCCTTAAATACCACATGAGGATTTTTAGTTCTCTCCAAACACAAAGTTATCTACAGAAAGAGTGAGCAGAGAGTCTTTGCTATCAGGAGTAGTGAAACTTTCATCATCCTTTTAGAGTAGATCTCCCTTGGTGGGGGAAATGTAAGACAAGCCACAGAGGGCAATGTAGCACATTTACCAGCTGGGACGGGAAAGCTCAGGTAAATAGAACTGGCTAATCAGTCTGAGTTGAGAGGAAGGGGAGATCTGCTTTTATAAAAGCAACACTTTTCTTCATCTGCAAGTCCCTGTTTTCTGCTTTATAGCTATGGCTAAAAATGAGTTTAC